GCTTCTCATGCAAGCGATGCGAAACACGACTAGAATCTGCATCAGAAAGATTCATACTCCTTTTATGCATGACAAAAAGTTTTCATTTGGAAACTTCGCATCACAAATTTTTGCAACTTTGGGGGTGGGGGGCACTTTTCACTGTAATACGTTTGATCACGAATTCGTCGAAGATGGCAGCTTTGTCAGAAGCACGCAGGCGCACCGCCTCGGTCCGCTGGGCCCAGCACGCAAGAAAAGCAGCAACACCGACTGCATATCCTGTGGAAAAACATCCACATCCCCTAGTTAGTTTGTCAACAGGCCGATCTGCATGCTTAAAATGTCTCTCCTGTGGCGCCCACCCATGTTGAGACGCATTTTCTAGTCGTGCTTTGGAACTTGTGATCATGCTCAAGAAATCAGCAAAGTAAGTACTTTAGATCTTCTTTGACGCGGTTGCACGAGCTGAATACGATTGAATTACTCGCCCAAACTTGATGTCATGCGTAACAGCCACAGCTTGTTGATTTGTCTTGCAGTAGATTTCCCGGCTTGACTATGTGTCATGCAAAGCAGCCAAAACTTGTGGCATGCAAAGCAGCCAAAACTTGTGGATTTGCCTAGCCGATTCCCCATCTTGACTCCTAGGTTTGTGTTGCAAAATCCCCTAGGTTTGTGTTGCAAAATCCCCTTTTCGTAAAGAAAAGCACTTCGTAAAGAAAAGCACTTCGTAAAGAAAAGCACTTCGTAAAGCAAAGCACTTCGTAAAAAGAAAGCGTAGCCATTGTAGCTCATGTAAAGACTCACAGCAGATACTTCAACACACTAGCAGCGTGCGGGGGGGACCATTGTGGTCCCCCCCACCCGCTGCGCCTCTAAATAAAACACGCCAGGGAGTTTTCTTTTTTTTCCAGCAGAGGCTGGCTGTGGGAAGTAGGGCATTGCCGGGGATTTGAAATGCAAATTATATGACGTTGGCACTGCGATTCTATTTCTATAGCTTATCTTGTGACGTTTACATTTTGATTTTCTTTGGCTTTTCTCACTCTTTGGACAGCTTTCGCGTCACTTCATTGATTTTGCAAGTAATAGAAATCACCACGGAAAATGGAACGCGAACGCGGAGTCGGAAACATTGAAAACGACCCCAAGCTCAACGGAAGCGCATGGAGGGTGGATGGGGGTTGCAAGATCTGCGCGTGCCGCTGCTGCTACAGTATGAGGAAGACTAGGGCGTGGAGAATGCGCACGCGGGTGAGGAGGGAGGAAACGGGACCGAAACGAGAGCAAGGGGCGCAAGACGAAAGTGGATCGAGAACCAACTTGCTGGAGCAGCGGACAAGAGCGGAAAGGAAGAATATCAAAACAAGATGAAAAAGCCTTTGATCCGCGCAATTGCTGGAATGTGAATGGCGTGGACAGCGGAAGGGGTCTTTCACATTCCAGGAAACGCCCACCGCCCCCAATAGCTTCGTGATCCGAATGATGAAAAAAAATTTTAGAGGGGGCCGGGCAAAAAAAAAAAAAAAAAAAAATTTCCCGGCTTGACTATGGGAAGATGGGGGCGTTTTTACATATGACACTGCAACGATCGACGCAATCCTTACACCGAGAAAGCCTGCTATTGTGAGGAAAAATGCCCCCTCCCCATATCGAAAGCGAAACTTGTGTTGCTGTATTTGAGTACACAAATCCGAGCTGTCTTGTTGGAGAGCACTGCAGGCCCCTACGAAGTGTGAGTAGCGAGGCTTTGGCGTAGGCACTTAGCATGAAAAACATCCACGCTGTAGGCCCAACAGCATGACAAACCGCCTGCACAATGCAGGGGAGCCTGCGGAGTTGCCTTCTTGCAAGACAGACGCGATTTGTGACCACAAATCAGCATCACAAATTTCCAAAAGTACACCTTTTCAGTATGGGGAGGGGGGATTTTTCCTCTCAATACCTGCGGATGCGTAGCTTCCCCCGCTGGTACTACACAGCGAATACTTCTTGGCGTTGATGTTCATCGGCATTTTGGTCGAGAAGTGCAAGATAATGTAGAAAAACCTCGTAAAGAAAAAGAAGGGGCGTTGGTTTTATTTTGTGCTGCGGGTAGTCGTGTAGGATTTCTTACTAGGGTTTTTTACTAGGGCTTATCTACGAGGTGATAGATTGGGGACGAACGCTACTTGTTCACTCCAACTATACTACTGCTCAACAAAACAAGAGGCCCACAAGATCTTTCACCTCCAGAGATGATGATCTTAGCGGTTAGTTGTACTGGCGGTAAAAAAGAGTGCACAAAGCCGAGAAAAGTTGTGATGCGAAAAAGGGGGGTTTTCCTGATCAGCTTCCTGGTATTAATGCAATAAACAAGGAGGAGCAGTAGCTTCGCCATATTCATTCTGCGTTCGTCGGAAAATGATTTTTTTTTTCATATTCATCGTCACTCGAATGCTTCTTGATCAGGTAAAAGATCTTCGGTGATTTCATAAAGAACTTTGATTTGTCTTGCGGTGCGCGTGCAGGAGACTACATCGAGGACCGAGCATTGTGATTTCACATAAAAACTTTCATTTGTTTTTCGGTGCACCAGGAGGTTCCGTACTACAACGAGGTGGACCGAGGACTGTTCACACTTGACTTTATTTGTGGCGAATGACGTATTAATTCAGGCCGAACACCAACAAAGTCGCATCCATGAAAAGTTTCTTTCCACTCTGTGCACCTACTTCTCGATAGCTTGATTTGCGATGAGGAGCCACATCAAGCAAAGTAACGTAGTCCTACATTCGCAGCTTCAAGAGCGCTCTAAAGTATTGTAAAATCATACGTGCTGCTGTATGAAATTATCCTTAAATAAATCATACACAGTTTTTTTTCAAAATACCAGCCACATTCCGGGCACGATCCCCGAATTAGTTTAAAAATAGAAATGATATACTTCTGGCGATAGCTGTTTTGAAACACTTCTCGGCAAACGACGTAGAAACAACTCTACATCACCGACCGGCGAAAATCCACTCGATTCATATGATTTTTCTTTCAAATAATTCCATTTAGAGGCGCCGGTAGAAGTGAAGCACTTCGCTAAAGTATCTGCATCTTCATACCATCTGCTCTACGCCACGAAGAGGGCCCATAGGTTTCACAAAAACAGGTTTTTTGGTTTGATATTCTGAACAAGATTGGTCGGGCCGCTTTGATCTTGCTCTAACGAATATTATCAAAATAAAAGTCTAGACTGTTCCGATAAAAAAACGTCTCGCGCGGCTTGTTCACGTTTATACGCCACTGCGTCATTTTGATAAAACAAGTAGAAGCAGTATGCCAACCTCCGACTGTGGTGATCGGACCGCTACCATGCTACAAATACAATCCGGCACGAATCCTCTATCGCGAAGCGAAGTTTCGACCTCAAACTATTATCGCGAAGCGAAGTTTCGACCTCAAACGAGTCCTCTAGCGTGAAGCAAATCAAGGGGGAAAACGACTGGAACAAGCTTTGTTGACATACCTGCGACTCGACGCCTATCGGATGCAACGTCGGCCTCATTGCCGCCGCTGAGAAAATAAAGCACCGTTAGCTGCACCGGCGGGCCATCGTCGCCGTTCGCCGGAACAGTCCACGGCCGCAAGCGACATTGCGACGGACTGCGGCTGCGACTCTGGCTGCTACTCTGGCTGCTACTCTGGCTGCGACTCCGGCTGCGACTCTGGCTGCGGCCCCGCTTCCTTTCATTAAGGCTGCTGCATCAGTTGCAAATATCCCTGGAAGTCTGGCAACGTCAAAACTTGTGGTGAGCTGCCCTGTGGGATAAAAAAAAGACCTCAGCACTGAACTCGTCAGCACGCTACGCCGTGCATTCCAGGCCTCATGGTCATGGGGCATGCGCATGAAAAGCCTGCATGACAAAGTTTACAATCTTTCGCACCACATCCAGATCCAGGGATAAATATCTTGACGCGATGCATATGTCTAGCTGTCTGTATTCGACGCTTGTCGTACCATCATATCCAGAGTAGATGATAGTTTGTACTCGACGACCACCAGTCCGTTCCGGGGACGGGGACGCAGGCCGGGTCCACATTCCGAGATCTTGCTCCACCAAACGGAGCTTCTCGTCCACCAGCCGGCGCTTCTGCAACATCGCCCGCCTGAAACCACGCTCCGAAATCCGATCCGGGACTATCGCGTAAACCCTTCTAGAGTCAGGGAACAAAGGATTGATCCATCGACCTTGACAACCAACCCATTCCTCCGTCAAAAACGTCTCCTGGTGCCGAAGGAGGAGAAATTGCACATCAAGAAGCTGCACCACCACCATTCGCTTCGCTGGCTCGGAAAGGGTCTGGAGACGGTCTTTCAACTCCTGCGTCGTCTCCCGAAGGGAAGTGGGCAAAAACGTGTTCATCTCCAACTCGGATATGTCTTGTTGTAGGGCTTTCTGAAGGTCATCACCGATACTCTCCGCGTCCATAACGCGACGCACCGTGTTGAGGTGGAGAAGCCGCCTGGTGAACGTCAAATAAACCTGCCGCAAGCGAATGATATTGGCATTGCCCACAGCTTCCTCGTACCTCGACGGGACCCTCTTTTCTAGGGTTTCCGCACTCACGAAGGCCCGACTGACGTCCTTCCTATAATGCAAGAATTCCTTCCACGCGTCCGGGGTCTGGCAGGGAGGGGCAAGGCCTCTGGCCTTCTCACCACCAGATGCGAGCGCGTCGCCAAGGCCTGTCCTCCAAATGTCCCTGATGGACCTGTAATCTTCCAGCACCTGCTCACTCACAAGTTCACCTGCGAGGCGGTCCTCCAAAAAACGCAGTTCCTGATCGATTATAGAGCGCCTCTGCAACGTGTTCCGTGGCACCGTGTTCTGGACCACCCCTCCAACGGCAGCGGCCTCGTCCAAAAGCTTCGCCTCAAGCATCTCCTGGAGGTGAGACCGATCCTCTTTCAGAAGCTTCGCCCTCTCCCGCCGCACCTCAAACTCCACGTCCGTCTCCACTCGTCTGCCGGACCGCGTCTCCTTGTCTATGCGGGTATGAACCTCTTGAAGCCTCTGGTTCACAAGCAGATGATCCTTGACGAGCTGAGATGTCCACTCCTCCGCGGGAGCGCCGTCCTCCAGCAATTCTTGCAAAAGCAGGTGTCGAAATAAGGACGAATCTGTCGTCGAAGGTGAGGGTCTGAGAGGACGGTACTGCATCGGGAGGCCACTTAGGATCCCCTCTGTCTCGATAGCAGAAAAGCTTCGCAAGTGCAGATAGCGTGGTATTACTCGATCAAGCTCCTCCGGGGACAGAAGCTCCAGGTACCGCGTATGACCCGCTCAGGTGATACAATCTGCTCAGACATTACAACAAGTAGAAGCGCAGCTTTATTGTGATGCAAGCGGTGCGCGGCCACCTGGGTTCTTACTCTCAGAGGAATATTACGCAAGACAAGTTCTGGAGTCCCAAACCCCCGCACAAAAATTTTATTAATCTGGCGAAATTTGTCTTGCAGAAGGCGGAGGGCTCTGCGATTCTGTCATGCTCGTCAGGCAACACAAAATCCACATTCTATTGTAGCAGTTGAGATCATTGTAACACCTGAGCACGCTATACTCCGAAAACGCTACATCTTCAACGAAGCTAGGATCAGGCCACCGCGCCTCGTCCTCCTCCGGCCGCAGGGTAATCATCGCAGTGTCTCCATCAGCAGCTCCGCTACTAGCAGCTCCGCTTGCCAGACTTACCGCACCGGCCGACTGAGCGCAGCAAGCAAGAAGAGCAGCAGCACCGCCTGTAATCGACGCAACCCTTGCGGCGAGAAAACCTGCCGACGTGCCGCGCGCAGAGCCCTTCTTGGCTCTGTGTTTGTCTTTGTTCACCATCATTTTGGATAAATTAGAAATGACGTTTTTCCACCTGCGGGGGTAGAATGACTACAGAGAAGATGTATATACAACAAATTTATGGCGAAAAATCGAAATCTATTTGAAGGTCGTGACCTTGTTCTACAGAAAGAAAGAATGTTGATTTGTGGCTTGAAGAAAGATGATTCGAGACGAAAGTACAGCTATTTTTATGCGGTTTTAGTGCTGGTACAAAAGTGCTTAAAGTCGATAACGGTTAAATCCGAATCAGTGGCGTTTAGTTTTTTTAGATGATTTGCTTTTTGTGTACTAAATGAGCTCCTTATAATTCCACTCGTCCTGCTTCCAAAACAAACACAAACAAAAAAAAGCTAGCGACTGTTGCTGTCGATTGACCAATGCAAACGGTCTGCGGTTTTCCTGATCCTGATTATGCATACAAGGAGGAGCAGATTGGCCATATTTGTTCTGTGTTTGTCGGAAAATGATCTATCGATTGCTTCTTCAAGATCGCGTGAAAGAAGATCCTCGGTGATTACATAAAGAACTTTGATTTGTCTTGCGGTGAAGGTGAAGGAGCTTCGGTACTACAACGACGACCGGGCATTGTTCACACTTTTGTAGTGACGAATGATATGCTTCGTGCGCTTTTGCAGGTTTGTCTCGATCCTGAACAGTCTCCGCTGCCAAACGCGCAATTCTTGCGGTGCACGTGCAGGAGAGGACCGAGCATTGTGATTTCGCACAAAAACTTTCATTTGTTTTTCGGTGCACCAGGACCAGGGCCTTCCGTACTACAACGAGATAGACCGAGCATTGTTCACACTTGACTTTATTTGTGGCGAATGACGTATTAATTCAGGCCGAACACCAACAAAGTCGCATCCATGAAAAGTTTCTTTCCACTCTGTGCACCTACTTCTCGATAGCTTGATTTGCGATGAGGAGCCAGAAGCAAAGTAATGTAAGTAGTCCTACATTCGCAGCTTCAAGAGCGCTCTAAAGTATTGTAAAACCATTATCATACATGTTGCTGTATACTAAAATTATCCTTAGATAAATCATACACAGTTTTTTTCCAAAATACCAGCCACATTCCGGGCACGATCCCCGAATCGGCGTCCAACTACCGACTCTAGAAGGGTAGTTGACAACTTTTTCACTACAAACCCCGCAACGCTTCTTTGAGGAAAAGGCTTCACGTTCAAATCGCAATGGCCGCACCACCACTGACATAGAACGAGAAGAAGATCATGTTCAGCTTTAGTATGGTGAATTCGGAAATTATATGAAGAAAGGGAAAGCACGACTGTATGCCAACAAAAACTACTTCAGAAACCACATGCGCCTACTTGTGGCGCAAGCTGTTGCTGTGGTGATTGTAGGTCTCAACATGATCTTCATCCTCTCCGCCGTAGAAGGTGAGCAGCTACTAAGTAGTGGCACCGCCGAACTACACAAGTAACTTGCGTTCCTTCCTCGCGCTCGCTGCCTTTTATCGGCGGTACTTACAACTTTGTGGGTCTGGGTTCGCGCTCCCCATATGGATTATATTACTGCTCACATGAGATATCGTACAGATGGATCATCAACACAATCTCGAGGATGATCGTCGTGGAGCTTTTGTTCAATACTTATACGTCTACATGCTTCTAGAAAAATTATACATGGTTCTGGTGCTGACGAGTCCGTTTTGGTGGAGAGAGACGAGAGGAGCACGTGGATTTTTAAAATACTGGTTGTATGCACTGTGATTATATCTCTTTTTTTTTCAATTTGATGAATAAAATATAGCCAGGCGCATCAAGAGGCTCGCCACTCCCTGGCCCAACGTGTGGCCCGACGTAAAATCCAAGAGAGCACATCACGCGACTGTTGCCTTCTCTAAAACTGCCGGCAGTCTTCTACCTGCATCTTCTGATACTTATCATCTTCTGGTAATTACTTCACGCCAACGCTTTCGACGTCGCAAAATAGAAAAGCCTTTTCTTGTCTATTGTCTTGTGTTAAAGTTGTAGCGCTCGTCCTCGATTCCCCACGAAAAAAAATCAACAAATCCCTACCCTTCCGAGACAACGACTCACGGCTTCCCTTTGCAGCCGCCCGAAGGGTATCAAGTGTAAAAATGTCTGGGTCTGGAAGAATGCGCGATTTGTCATGCTGCTTTTCCATGACGATGACCCATGAGGTCTGGAATGCCGGAGCTAGCATGACATATTCTGCGAGAACTTTCTAGTGCCTATCCTGCATGAGAAACTACCTCCCGACTTGGTCAAAATTGGGCGACTTTTGGTAATCATCGTTCGTTCGTATGGATCGGCTCTGCCGACCGGGTGACCCATCGCCTTGCATATAAATGACCGACATAGGCGATCCCCGTTACGGGACATACATATTGGCCGTACGGAAGGGCCCTAGGCGCTACATACATAGTTCATCCTAGCGCCTACCACTTCGGTCGGGACTAAGTCAGCCTGGTCCTGGGGGTTCACAGCGCACTAGCCATCTGCTAGCATAAACAGACTGGGTTTTACAAACTGTAACTGATCTAACATCTCATAACAGTGAGGCCATCATAAAGGTGCGCTAAAACGAGTTCGGGGCGCTCCGTACGGAAGGGAGCCTTTCGACGCGGCGCACACTCTCCTGTAGAGTTTTACGCGGAACACGGATGGGCCGCGCACGCAACTCAGTCGAGGAGGACACACGCTCCCTCAATAATAGAGGTGGTAGTCACTCACGGCGGCTGGCCTGTCTGAAAACGGTAATCCCCACCTCCCATCTTCCCGGTTCGTCAATGACTCTGGCAAGCCATGTTACTTAGACTCCCCGCACATGCAAATATGGGACGGCGGGGGGGTTTTAAAAAGAGCTCTCGCCGTCCTTGATCTACTATAAAAGAAAAAGCCCTATAATTTCGGCGAGGCTGTTTAACTATTCGCTAGCTGATGGCCTCCTGTATAGTAATGGTCTCCCTTTTCTCCTCCTTTCCCCTTTCTCAATTTAACTCGCCTGCATCCTCCTGCTAATTTAACTCGCCTCCCCATTTATCTCGCTGAAAGCTCCGTCCTCAATTTCACTCGCCTGCCAATTTATTCGCGACGCCTACGGCTTTACTTCGGCGCATGGTGTGAAATCTTCGCGGCTTCTCTTCTCAGCTCCTCGACCTCTGCGCAGCGTTTTGCACTGTTGCCTTCGTTTTTTTTTTTTTTGGATCCGCGCCGCGCTTCAGTTTCAGTTTCAGTGGAGCGCCCCACCGGGCGGAATACTTCTGGTGGTAGACGTGGCCCAGGGATTTGTGGCTTCGCGCCGCGACGACTTGATGGGGGTCCCGCACCCCCCCTCCGTTTCCAAAAATGCAGTTTGTGCGTGAATGCTGCAAAACCTCCGACACCGCGGCACAAGAAGGAACAAGCTCCTCTTCACCATACACAAACCCAAAGAAGGAAATCTTCGGGATGAGGATATTGATGACCGCAATCAATGACGCCAATGGCAACTACAACCCGAAGTAGGGGAGGGGTAGCTACTCCCGCACAACGCGCTGAATTCGCTTTGTACGTGTCGAGCCGGTAGCAGCGGCACACGTCCGACACAGCTTTTTTCACGTCGACGAAGAACTTTTTTTTTTTTGCTGCATCGGAAAACCCTAAACACCTAAACCCATCTATTTACTGCGGGAGGAAGCAGCCCCGGATTTTGTGCGACGAAGTTCGTAAAACGGTCAAAAAATTATTGTAGTGGTTACGCTATTGACTGTGTGCGCGCTTCAAAAAAACTTAAGCCCACACAGGTCCGCATTTAGCTACCGCCCGCCCTAAATGAGGCACGTCCTAACCCCGGTGGCAGCGAGGCAGTTCTTTTTTTTTGAAAATTACGCCGGGCGTTTGCAGGATAGCAGTAGCCGCAGATGCAAACCTGCGGCTGCTAAGACGGTTGTAAAATTAAATAGCACGAATAGAGTACTTTTATTTGTACAAAGCGAAGTACTACGAACGAACGAGGGGGGAGGGGCGGGACCGTTGAACCCCCTGGCAAAAATCATGTCGCTCTGCTCTCCACCGGTGGAAATCGAAGCTCTGCCCCGAACGATCGCCGTCTTCTGATATCAAGTGATAGACCCATACCCCCCAAGCAACAACCCGCTGGCTAGGCGGAAAAAAAAGAGAAGCCCCTGCGAGGACGCGGGGTCCGCGGAACGACTAGCGCTACAAGGCGTGGATCAAGTAAGACTAAGTGCGAAGACCACTAGGAGACGACAAAAGACTGTAAAAGGGTAGAGACCTACATCTACATGGGACAACACCGGGCACGGGGAAGATCTAATTTTTTAAAGGCGAAGGAGCGTACGAATTTGCGATCTAGCTCCTTGGACAAAACAAACGAAGAGCGGCAAAGGCGAAGTGCTTAATAACGACTACAAGATGGCAGGAGTCATACAAAGCATACATAGCAGCAGCAAGCAAATCGGATTCGCATTGCTGTGCACCGGCAGAAACTTCAATCACAACGAAACCCAACCCCTCAGCCGCGAAGCCGAAGGGCCGGGGGCCTGGCACCTAACTCGAGGTTTGGAGTCCAAGCACCGACGTCCTGTTCTTGACATCTTGTTCTTTTGTAAGGCATGACTGCAATTCTTTTGTAAGGCATTGCAATTCTTTTGTAAGGCGCTTGTTTCTCTGAGTGCGGTCGATCTTCTTGGCCTATCGTCGTCGCCTGTTTGAAAGTTTGGACATTTTTGAGGCGCCCCGCGATTCGCCTGAAGCTTCTCGGGGTGATCTTGGCCCTGTCGCGTTCGTTGGCAAATTAAGGGATCCCCTGGAGATCCTTAATCTGACTGCGCTGAAACGATCTTAGAAGTATGAGGGCAGGATCTTAAGACGAACGCGCCGGGTCATATTTTCCGGCAGTCCTCGAGCCTGCCGGGCCTTTTCTTTTTTAATTCAAACGGGAAATAGTGTTTTCGTTTTTTTCTATGATTTCGATGCTGTGCGTTTTTCAAAAATCTCCGGAGTGCATTTCTCAGACTTTTCAGTCGCTCGGCCTGGTGTCCGATTTTCGGTCCGTCACTATGTCACTTCAATCATAGGGATCCTGCGTCGCCTGAAGTCGTCCCCCCGCTCCCCCTCCTGTGCTGTCTTGCAGCGATCTCCGAATAATCCGCTGCATTGTCTGCGCCAGCGTTTCCCCCTCTCCCGCCGCTTTTTGTTTACTATTTTCTTGCTCTTTACTCTTTTGCCTTTTTCTTGCTATTGTGCCACCATCCTCCGCCCCTCTTTTCTTTGAGCCCTTTTCTCCCCCCTCCGGGCTGTTCCTCCTCCTTGCATTTTCACTGTTCCTCTCTCTTCCTCTTTGTCCTGAAGAGCTACTTGCTCCGCGGCCTTGAGTCGCCCCTGCCTCTTTTGAGTATCTACGATGCCCTCCGTTCGAAAACTCTAAGGAGTACGGTGCTCGCGATGTCAGCGGGTCCACTTCTGCGCGTGTTTCTCCGGCCGGCCCTCTTTCCGTCTTGCTTTCCTTTTTTCTTATTTCCTCTTGCTTCTTTGGCTTCCGTTGAGCCGTCGGCTTGTCATTTCCTCCCGTACTTCTTACCTCTTTGCCGGTGCTACTCCGCGTTATCCCTATGCTTATGCCCTTGCTTTCTAGCGACGCTCTTGCTTTTGGCTGCACTGCTGAGAATCTGCCTCCTTGTGCCTCTTTATCGCGCCGCTCCTTTTGCTTTTCATTTATTCTCTGGGCAGCCTCCTTCTCTCCTTTTCCCCCCTTAATTTCATTCAGTGCGGGCCTCTGCTGTTTTGCTGGATCGCTTTCCCCTACGGCCAGCCTCTGCTCTGTTCTTTTCTCCTTCGGCCCTTCCGCTGTATTTTGGTTGCTTTGCATTGCCGCACTACCTATGTCGCTCTCTTCCTCCTCGTCTGCTTGATTTTCTGCACCTGTCCCCTCTTTTTCCCAGATGTAGTTCCGGAGCTCCTCTGGTAGTAGCCGCCTTTCCTTTCTTTCTATTATCGAGAGCGATAGCGATTGCGCCACTGCTCCCCCTCTGTCGTCCTCTGTACTGTTTTCCCTCGCGTCCCTTTTGTCTTGCTCGCTCTCTTCTTTCTCCCTTATCATTCGCTCGGCATTCTCCCGTAGTTTATCCATTTCGTCTTCGCCTGCCTTCTTTACTTTCATTCTCTCCACTAGATGCGCCACCTCTTCACTTTCCTGCTCATCTTTCCACTCTTTGAGTATTCCTCTGATGTCGCTATTCGCTCCAATGTCTTCGGGTTCGTCTATTCTTGTAAGCTCTTCCGGGCATAGGGCTCCTGTTATAAAGTCTTGCCTTTCAGTCTTTGTCATCTCTGGCCAAGCTTCTACGTCCGGCAACTCTAGCACTCCTTCTCCGAAGTCATATATCGGCCATATAAGCGATTTTTTATCCATTTCCGACACATCAACGGCCTTGAGAGTCTTGCAGGTTACTATCTCTACGCCTTCTTCCACCCTCCTCTCTTCTTCCTTCACCTCGAGACTTCCCCTATCGATACACATTCCCGCCGTGCCGCGGTGGCCCTGAAATCGTAGGCGTCTCTGAGCTTCCTTCTTCTCTATTCCGCAGCTCTTTTCTAGCCTTTCCTCTAATTGTTGGTGTAGTTCTTCTATCTTCTCCGTCAGCAATCACAGATTTTTCCATGCTGCAGATTTAGCATGACAAGTTGCAATCTTCCAGACCCAGACATTTTTACATTTGATAAAGGGCTTCGGCTAGAGCTGCTCCGACGTTGAGGTTGATCACGGCGGGGCTGGGCACTAGTACTTCCCGTACGACTATCAAATGTAAAAATGTCTGGGTCTGGAAACTTGTAATGCTGAGTTGTGAATAGTGAATGGCAATGGTCTGTAATGCTGCATAGCGGCCAAGCATGAGAAATATTTCCGGGGCTTAGTGTTGCGCTTTCCGCATGACAAACTGCGTTTTTGCATGACAAGCAAAAGGGTCTCTTTCTGGACACGCATCACAGACTTTTTAGTCATGCCAGACAAGCATGACAAACCTTGCACCCTTCCAGACCCAGACATTTTCACATTTGATAACGACCTCCAACACGACCGTCGAGAGCCGGGCTGCTGCTTCCGCTCGGCTCGCGTGCCGTCCATCCAAACCGTCCAAGGTGGTGGTTGACCATAACAAGAAGCTTCTGGTCCACGAGCTGACGCTCCTGCACCGTTGCCCTTTTGAATTGACTCGGAGTAAGCTGGTCTGGGACCACTCCTTGCACGCGGCCTTCGCGCAAAAACTCCTCCTCCTGCACGAGGAGCCCACACTGCAGCTTGAGAAGCTTCGCCCTCTCCCGACGCAGCTCCGGCAGGGTAAGGGTCCCGAGGCGGGCCGCAAGCTCCTCCTCCGTCTCGCTTTGCAGAGGATCAACGTCTGGGATGCGGAGGGTTCTTTTACACGACAGGATATCAACATGATTGTCGACCGCGAGAAGCTTCTCGTTCACCGAGAGAAGCTTCGGAATGTGCGACAGAAGCAGTTCTCGGTTCTTCCGCAGAAGCTCGTCCTCCATTGTCTCTGCTGCAGGCGCCGAAAGACGCTCCTCGCCTCCCACCTGCAGAAGAGGGTCATGCTCCTCCTCGATGCCGCGATAAAGGCGTTCCTCGTTAAGAGTTGAGCGAAGTTGCAACAGATTGGCCAGCTCTTCTGCATCTACCGTTCCCAGAGCAGCTGCGCTCCCCAGACGTACCGCCCCGACCGACTGTGGGCAGCCCGCAAGAAGAGCTGCAGCAGCACCGGCTGCAAAGATCGACGTAACTACCCTTGCAGCGAGCGGAAAACATGCGGACGTGCAGCTACCCCCGCTGGCACGCAGAGAAATAAACCTCTTGGCTTTGAAATTGTTCATCGTCATTTTCAAATTGACGGCTTAGATATCGACGTCAAATAGTTACTTATACAACCTCCCGTGAGCTTAACTGCAGAAAAACAAGAATGTTGATTTGATATTTTTGATAGATGATATGGATAGAAAAAAGTTGTTGTTTAAAATGAGATGACTCAAGCGGAAAGTTCTACAGACGAGCGGGCGGTGAAAAGCTTCAACATACACTTCTTCCGTGCGCGTGATACTACGACCACAATTGCTGTTCTGAGTTGTAAGTGCTTACAGTCGATACGCTACAGGTTCCGTAAGTACCACAACGACCGAGCATTGTTCGCACTTCTGTGCCGATACACTGATCAAGAATCATTGGCCCGCTGTTTGATCTTTATTTTTGTGTGATCACTGCTCGGGCAAGAACTGCAGCCGACGTGTTCCGATTCTGTGCTGACACGTGCGCCGTGAAAGCCGCGCACTTCATCGAAAACGGAAAGTCGAGCACTTGTTTGAATTTTTTGATCCAGGAATTCAAATTTTCACTTCCTGTACGCATCACTTTCAGCAAGAACTGACATTCCGAGTTGTTCGGCCGCGATTCTACAATTTCTTTGTTTTTCCAGTGTGAACACTACTGCCTCCCTGTCGAAACTCGGCCTGGTACAGGTTCGAAGCAGGACAACTCGTCCGTAGCAGGACAACTCGTCTCATCATCCGTACCAGGACAACTCGTCTTCTCCGTGCTGTACTTACTCTATGTAGAATCTTCTTCTTTCCTACACAATGATTCTTTCCCTCACTACAAGCCCAAAACAGGAATGTCGTCTGTGAAATCAATAACACTGTCGCTACTTCTTCGAGCGAGAAGCAAAATTCGCGGCTTCTGAAAAGATCAAGACCGGAACACTTCGCGGTCACATCCCTTTCAGAACCTACTTTTGTGAAGACCAGGGTTAGATGAGAAATAATAAACTCTCCTCGAGTACTAGAATGGAGGGCAGGGACCACGACGATGTTGATACTAGTACTTGGCATGGTACGGAATAACAGCAGCTCCATCGTGATTGGCGTTTTTTCTCTACTTGAGCAAGAACTGCAACAACAACAAACAACACTCAACCGCTCAACTTCCGCAAAAGGAAGAACCTTCCTCGCAACTCATGAGAGGGGCCTTCTTGGTCTCCGGTCCTCGGTCCTCAGTCGCTCACAAGGGAATACTTGAAGAGCTAAGAAGGTCGAAAGCTGAGACACATGAAAGGGAGTTTCTTGGTCTCCGGTCCTCGGTCCTCAGTCCCTCGCATGGTAATACATGACGAGATAAGAATGTAGAAAGCTGAGACACATGAAAGGGGGTTTCTTGGTTTCCGGTCCTCGGTCCTCAGTCCCTCGCAAGGTAATACCTGACGAGATAAGAAGGTAGAAAGCTGAGACACATGAAAGGGGGTTTCTTGGTCTCCGGTCCTCGGTCCTCAGTCCCTCGCAAGGTAATGGCTGACGAGATAAGAAGGCAGAAAGCCCAGACACATAGGAGGGGGCTTGTTGGTCTCCCATCCTCGGCCCCCAGTCCCTCGCGAGGCAATATATAAAGAGAGAAGAAAGGAGAAGGGGGACACACATGAGCGGGAGTCTGTTGGCCTCCGGTCCTCGGTCCGGACGCCCGCGAAAGTGCGGAGCTTTTTCGTGTGTTTTTTGTTATTTTTTCGCTCGCCAGTTACAGTTCTGGAGGAGCAAGTCGCTGGGGCCATGTCGGCCGCCATTGGAAGAATTCAGGCGCGCGCGCCCTTTTTCTTCTTCAGAGCTGTAGCACCGTTGAAGGCGATGGAGGTGCTCTGAGCTGTCGCTGCGAAAAGCCGCCCGATTCTCTATGGCGAACGCACTCGATAAAGCTAGGGCCCCTGCGATCCTCCGGCGGCACACTCGGCCCAGCGTTGCTCCTCCTACGAAATCGCAGGCAGATCATCAACACCACCCCAATATGGCACCTCGCTCCTCTTCAAAACAGCAGGAGTGCCGCAACAGTGGCAGCAGTCAATCAAGAGCGCTCTCGAAGGTCATTTTTGAGGATCTGCAGCGCTACGGTAGTAGCAGCCAGAAGAGCACCGCGGAGGAAATCAACCGCAATCGCGTTGGTTCTGAGGTCCTTCCCAAGCGAGCAGATCGGGAAGTTTAAAAGTGGCACCGTCGTCACAGCTTTGACGATCCCGATAATTAAATCAAGTTAAGAATCAGAAGCAGGCCACACGGCATAACGGGCGAGGTCCGGTCTCTAGAGTTATCCAAATGGATGGAGATGAAAGCAATGGGCCTTGAACATTTGACGCCATGCCCAGGCACGAGAGAAAAAAAGCGAGAAAGCTATCCAAGCCAGGCGATCGGCCATTTGTCTTCCGTGGCAGTATTCTTCTGGGCTTGTCAAGTATCAGGCTCCTGCTTCAGCAGCAGCAGCACCCTGCGAGCTTTACTACGGCTCTTACGAAGCGAAAGGGCCGAGCTGTCGCGGTTTGAGCAATGCCGTCGAGCAAGATAATACGAGGGATCACGTTGGCGGATTGCAGTTTACTTCTCGGCTTTCTGCAATGTGCAGAGCGGAGCGCTCCCATCCTTTACAGAAAGTCCGCTACTTGCTCCAATATGACACAGATTGAGATAGTGAGAAGATCAACGCACCCACTTCAGACCAATTCGGCGCAGAAGATCAGCACCGCCTTCAAATGCATCCAGATCCGTTTTCTTATTCTACGACTTTCATCCACCACGCAGGCCGGTTTTTTTTCATTTCCCAAAACCAAAGCAGGACAGGGAAGCTGATAGACTCACTTACAGCCCAGACCTCACAGCTCGGCGCATCATCATCAGAACGCGCACGATCGGAGGCGGCGGAATTGTGGACGCGGATGTCAGGGCGAAAGTATATCTCCTCCCAAGTTGTTGACTAGTAGACTGCTTCCGAGGTGGCCCCTTTTCATTTCTACTCCGCCGACACTGGCAAAGAAAAGCGTAGAAGTGGAGCGAAGTGACTACGTGCGATCGAGTGAGAGAGCGAAACGGACTGACTATGTGCGAAGAACAGCCCAGGAACAAAGGCCGCGACTATGTGCGAAGGAGTGGGAGACAGCGAGTCTAAGTGGGTAGCAAGCGAGTCGGGCACTGCCCTACTCGCCTGCCTGATGTCTTTCCGCAGCGCTCGCAGTCGAACTCTCGGCCAAGTTGGTCCCTCGCTGTTTTGACGCGACGGAACGAAGCAGAGGACGCGCGCGAGACAGCGTCACTAGTCGGCTTCACTTGCCGGGCAAGCTTTCCCAAACCGACACTGGCTAAAGCGTAGAAGTGAGGCGAGGCGACTCTGAGCGAAAGAGTGGGCGAAGTGAAGCGACTACGTGCGAAGCACAGCCCCGGATCAAAGAGCGTGGCGGTGTGCGGCGATTTCTCGCCGTTTTGAGTTTGACGCGACGGAGCCGACCGAGGTGGGCAGTTCCATTTGGACGCCTTCTTGTGCCACCATCGTCGCCGGTGTGTGATGATGGTGCTGGTGTACATATGTCGAGCAAGAGAAGATCTCTCTTGCCACTCATGTCACAAAGAAAGTCGGGCGCGCCGCGCAGATGTCGGCCAACGGCGCTCGCGTATATCGGTCACCGACCGGCTGAGAAGGCCGGCGATGTCTTTTGAGTTCGGTCCTTGGTGTACTTTTACACGAAGAAACTGCGCGCGCATTTGAATGTGGAAGGAGTTTCCGAAAGTCGGCGCGCCTATAAATACCTAGTGCCGCGCGGGGAAAACCTGTCCAAAAGCGTGCGCCCGTGTGCCGTAGCCCGAGCGCAGCGCCATCATCATCAAAATGCGGCAGGTTTTTTTCCAGCAAGCGGCGGCCTACAACGCTCCGGAGATTTCCTGCAAGCTACGGAGGCAGGCGGCAGGCAGGTAAGTTCCCTCGCGTGCAACGACACGAGTATCAGCATCGCCTTGCTTCGCCACCTTTTGCTTTTTGCGGGGCCGCAGAAATGCTCGCCAACGGCCAACCCACGCACTCGCTGCGGGTCGCGCGGTGCTGTGATTTCACAGGAGGAGACCCTGGCGCTGCAGTTGCTGCGCGTCTGTGTCGCTACTGGATCGATGTCATCAAGGATGTGCGGCTACTTGCTCCACGTGAGTGATGGCGTATCTATATGCGCGCGGGCTACTGACTGGCAAAATGCAGCCTTTTTTCGTAAGAGAACGCCACCCCCTTCGCTTCGTTCCAGCGCGCAAACTTTGGGCCATTTTGTAAGATTTCAGCTCTTTCTTACACTAAGAACGCAACACAGTCCGGCCAAATGGGCTCGCGCGCTGACAAGCCTGCCGGGCCCGAAGGGTATTTGCCTGCATGCTGTTGGATGGCCCCACCAACCAAGGCCAACCAACATCGGCGGAAGGTGGTGCCGTACCAACGGGCCGCCCGCCGCTGGCCAGACGGTGCACAACCAGGGACCACATTAGCAACGCTAGCAGCGCAGCCGAAAGGGGGGCGAAGCAAGCAGTTTTCAGCTACACGGACCGGCTTTCGTCAGCGGCGGCATGGATGTCGTTGCGCACGAGGTCCCCCGGGGGGGGGTGCCGAAAGAGGCCGGCGCGTTTTTTTTTCGTTTTCCCATCCGGCCCGGCGGTGGGCAGTTGACTACCCCTCGCGAGGGCCCTGAAGGTGGCAGCGGAGGGGGAACCAACGCCATCAGAGGAGAAGCGGCGCGAGCTCGGCATGATCGCGCCGTCGGTCGAGAAAGATCTCTGGGCGCGCAAAACGAGCTGTATCCGGGCGCTGTAGCTGTACTATAATAGCAGAGCGGATGGAAGTCGACTTCTCAGACACAGCGGCATCGGCTTCGGAGCCACATGCGCCGGCGCAAAAGTGGGAACGCCAGTCGGCCCGCGTCTGGGACGGCAGCACAGCGGCTCGCGGAGTCTGTAGATGTGCTGTGAATCGCTGCAGCGGGCCAGCACTTTGCGAGGGAGGTACTAGCAACACCGGCGGGCCGGCTACCGGGACCGGAGGCCACAAACCTCCCTCATATGTGTCTGTTGTTTCTACCTTCTTGTCCCGTCGCGTATTAATTGCCCCCAGATGAACTGAGGCCCGAGGACCGGAGACCATCGGCCTCCTTCTTATGTGTCTGGCGCTTTTGCCTTCTTATCTCGTCATATATTACCTCGCGACGAAGTGGGGACCGAGGACCGGAGACCAACGCCCTCCTTCTTATGTGTCTGGCGCTTCTACCTTCTTATCGCGTCATATATTACCTCGCGATGGAGTGAGGACCGAGGACCGGAGACCACCAGCCTCCTTCTTATGTGTCTGGTGTTTCTCCCTTCTTATCTCCTCATATATTACCTCGTGATGGAATGAGGACCGAGGACCGGAGACCAACAACCTCCTTCTTATGTGTCTGGCGCTTCTCCCTTCTTATCTCCTCATATATTACCTCGTGATGGAGTGAGGACCGAGGACCGGAGACCAACAACCTCCTCTTTATGTGTGTCAAGTGTCTGCCATTTTATGTAGTGCGTTGCTCTAAATGAGATTCCTTTAGGCTCTTCTGTCGTTACTTTTTCAATTCCTTTTAGAGCAAAAACACGAAACACGATGGAGCTGCTGTTATTCCGTGCCATGCCTAGTACTTGCGGCGATTTATCCGTCTTGCCGGGAGGACGAGATTATTCTTGTTTGCTGCCAGGTGTGCTAGGTGGAGTGGTCCGCCGTTAGGGAATACAAATCGGAGGATGAGAATCAATTAAGCTGTTCTCGGAAGATGTTGAGAATCAAGCTGCTCTTGTCGGTCTGCTTCACTCGTTTATTTTCCTCGTGAGGAGACCACACTTTACTTTCGTCCAAAATAACACCACTCGCGCGACATTTATTTCCGTAACACAACCAAAAGCCCATAATTCCTTCTTCCTTCATTTTGGTCATCTGCGACCGGAAAATGATTTTTCGCCAAAACGACAAACTGGTTTGTTTCCCCTACTGATGTTGACTTCTTTTTTCAATGAGGAATGGTGAAAGTTATATCTCTTCGACGTCCTGTTCGGCATCACAAATGATCCGTAGACCACCCTGTAGATTTACTTGTTCGCTACAACTTCTACCGCGAGGACTACACCTGCTTTCTTGCATTCCTCATCCATCATCCCAGATTCGTGATAAACAGAATCATTTCATCCAAATCCGGCCCTGCAAACTCGTACGCCTTCCATGCCTTCTCCAGCGGAACGCCCATGGACATGCACTGGATGACCGCGTCGGGGACTTGCTTGTTGGGATCTACTTGTGATGCAGATGCAGAAGATAAACCACCAGCATGCGTATTTATTCCCGTGCTTGTTCCCGCCGAAGATGTTGCTTCCGACACCGGCTCCTTCCCGCTCGGTGGCGCGGCAGCCGTCTTTCCCTGTTCTGCGTTCGTTGCAGTTGTAGATCCTGCGTTACTTTTTACGCCCATCGACAGTAGCAGTGCCTCCTGCAACAGTATTACAATGAAAAACGCCCCCACCCCATACCCAAAAGACAGTTTGTGTTGCTGGATTTGTGTACACAAATGAACTTTGTATTGCAGCAAGAACTTTTTGGCATACTCTAAGCCTTTTTGGGTACTACGCATCCGGCTAGCAGCTGCGCATGAGAAACAAGTCTAACATTGGCGAAAACGCATGACAGACTGGTTGCACAATGCGCCAGATGTGTGCCGTTTGCCTTGTACGCACGACAAGGCTGATTTGTGGTCACAAATCAGCATCACAAATTTCCTTTTCGATATGGAGAGGGGAGATTTTTCCTCACAATAAACAGCGCCTCATCGTCGGTGGAAGCAGAGGAGGAAGGTTGCTGCAGCGTCTGTGGTATGCATTGCAAAAGTACCACACTCGTAGTAATTCTAATTGAAGACATGCATGACAAATTATCGCCTTCCTAAGCTAAAACAGCATTACAGATTCCCTGCTCTGGCGTGCTGAGATGAAAATTTGATGTATTGCGATAACTACTACTAGTACGAGACTTTTGCAATCCATATGTTGCTGCTGAAGCTGCAGATTTATCCCCGCCGCTGGCGCGTCCGCGCTGGTAGTAGACATGGAAGATGTTACAGCAGTTGGGATGAAAGGGTATTGCAATGAAAACTGCCCCCATCCCCGAACTTGGGAGCATTTGTATTGCAAACCTTTCCAAATGAAACACTCGACCTCTTGCATCTATCAGCATCACAGATTGCCAGTCGTGAATAGCGAGAATTTGCATTGCAAAAAATCCCAGCAAGCGAAGCGCTTGTGATGCAAGCGATGCGATACACGGCTAGACTCTGCATCAGAAAGATTCATACTCCTTTCATGCATGACAAAAAGTTTTCACTTGGAAACTTCGCATCACAAATTATTGCAACTTTGGGGGTGGGGGCATTTTTCACTGTAATAAAGAGGTGCTGTTGTCCAGACTCGCCATCAGTGCCTTCTTGAGCTCCATCTATCGCGGGGAAAAATCCCCCCTCCCCATATCGAACAGCACGCCTCAGAAAATTTGTAACGCGGATTCGTGGCCACAAATCGCGTCTGTCTTGCAAGAAGGCAACCCCACAGACTCCGCCGCATTATGCCGGCGGTCTGTGATGCTGGTGGGCCTACAGAATAGACGTTTCTCATGCTAAACGCCTAGACCAGCTCCTCTCTACTCAGGCGTGATATGGGCCTGTAGACCTTCACTGCAAGACACAGCTGACTTGTGTACGCAAATCCAGCATCAGAAACTTCGTTCCGATATGGGAAGGCGGGATTTTTCCTCCTGATACCATCTCCTCCTGTTTCTGCAGTTGCTCCAGGGATTCCTGTTGCGCCTTTTGCATGAACTCGGACTCGAGCTTGAAATTCGCCTCGTTCGCCTGCCGTTGCTGAAGCAGCAAAGGGTCCTGACCGGCAGCGGTGCTCGGTGCGTTCGTCGTCAACGGAGAAGCATTCATTTGTAGAAGGTTCGAAGCGGAGGTTGTAGTAGTAGAGGGATTCGCTGCACGACTGGTGCCCGCTTGCAAGCCGCCCTGGTGCGCCATTTGTTCCAACTCCCGCTGCCTCCTCATCGCTTCCTTCGCGCGTAAGTGCTGCTCCTTCCGAATTTGTATTGCGAAATCCTCCACGGACCCCGCGTCTTCCAGCCGCCAGCTGATGCTGTGTTCGGGCGAGTTGGTTTTTTTCAAAAAACGGGTCCGAACTTTCCCGATCTGCGGAGCGCGAGCGTTCCAGGTGTTCATGTCGCGGAGGCTGTTGTAGTGGGATTGCCCCCGGTAGGTCAAGCGGATGACCGTGTAATTTAATCTGTGAAAGTCGAAGCTATCCTCATCCTCCTGCTTCGACTTCTTCCTATCTGCCTGTGCTTGTCGTTGCGGATGCTGGTGCGCAGCTCGACTGAAGCTAGTTGCACTACCAGCTGCTGATGCTGGGGGGTAGGAAGCGAAATTTACATTTTGCTGTTGCTGCATGAAGAGCAGGGGGTTATTATTGTAGTTGGCCGCGTAATTATTGTTCTGCGGATTGTTGTTCGAACTGCTACTTGAGCTCGCGCTACCACCTCCGCTATTGTTCACAACATTCGCCGCACCAGATCCACCCACCGCGGATACTGCGTGTGACCAGGCGGATTGCGCTGCTAAATCGTCCTCTATTTCCTGCATCGGATTGAAGTTTGAATTGGAGAAATTCGGGTTCACAGCTGTACTTATAGTTGTGCTACCTCCACCTGGTTGATGTACGAAAGGTGAACCGCCAGCATTTATCGGCCCTTTCGCGCTGCTCATTCCGGAGTGCTCGTGGAAGGTTTTATCAAAAGGAAAAAAGCCCCCACCCCATACTCCAAGCGAGATTTGTGTAGCGTGATTTGTGATCACAAGTTGTAACGCTGTCATGCTAGAAGAGATGTAGAGATGCGGACTGCAGTGCTGGCTGGCGTAGGAAAGCCTTGCGTCTTCAGCATGACAGGAACGAACTTGAAACGGGAAACAGCATGAAAACTTGCCTGCAAACGCGGGAGCAGCTGCGTCTCCTGGCCTTCTAGCAATACAAATCGAATTGTGTCAACTCAAATACAGCATCACAAATTTCGTTTTCGATAGGGGGAGGGGGGATTTTTCCTTTTGATAGGTTTTCTGCAAATTCCCGTCTGGGTCGTAAATCTCCACGCCGCTATCGTAGATCTCGCTCAGACACTGGATCTCCATGTCGTCCGCCCAGACTCCCAGTTGCTGCTTCCGGTCCACATAAGAATCAAAGTCGCCGTCCTCGTACACGTTCAGGAAGTTCTGAAAATGCGTATCCTGAGTAAAAACGTCCACACCCCAGAGTCAAGTTGAAAAATCTGCTACACAAATCTACCAGCTTTGATAGTTGCGCATGACAAGTTTGGCGTCGTATTGTGATCCTGTTTAGCTAGTTCAGCAGCATCACAGATCTAGAATATCGTGGTGATTCGAACATGACAAATTGCAAAACACGACTAGAAAACGCTCCTCATGGGCCTGCGCATGAGAACCATTTTAGGCATGCAGATTTGCACGACAACTCTGGGGTAAGAATGTTTTTGCGGAGGATAATGCGCCCTTTCCAGCCGCATGTACTCGAAACACTTTTTCCGAACTATCGAAGTGGAAAAAGCCCCCACCCCATACAAAACAGAAAATTTCTGTTGCTGGATTTCTCTACGCAAATCAGCGTTGTCTTGCAGGAAATGCTTGGAGGCATTTTCTACGCCTGACTGGGTAGGCAGAAGGCTAGCAGTTAGGCATGGCAGACAGCTTTGCAGTAAGCAAAAGCGCATGACAGATTGGCTGTGGAATGCTGCCAATGGCTCCCATTCGTCCCATACGCAAGACAGAGCTGATTTGTGGTCACAAACCAGCATTACAAATTCCCGTTCCGAGTACGGGGAGGAGAGCTTTTTCCTCATGATACGAACCATTTCGTGAAACTCCGGTGTGCCGTACATCTGGTCGGAAACAGATCGGTACAAACAGTTTCCGTCCGACGCCTGGACTTCCTCGTGCCAGTTCCGCTCGTTCGCGTTGTTTGAATGTGGATCGTCTTGAACAAAATTGTTGTTGCTGGTCACCATGCCGCTGTTTTGCTGTTGCTGCAACTGAAAATGGTCCGTCGTGTTAAAGTTCGGGTTTCCGCGGGTGGCGCGAGCCCTCTTGCGGTTGTTCGGGTCGATCGTCATGTTTTGAGCTGTATGATCTTCTAGTTCAACTGTAGATAGATGTTGTCCTCCCAAAAAATCTAAACTGATTTACACAGCCACAGTGTTGTAGAAGCTGCATCAAGTAGCTCTTAATACATAAGTACCACGCATTTTGTTTGTCCTGCAAAACTATGAATGGATGATGATTTTTATTTCAGAAGATGTTCCCTTAGGTGCAGCTACCAGCAGTCGTTTGTGTGCCACTGCCACCTATAGCGTCAGCACATAATGAACTTCAGTTGTAGCTGGCGCAACATATAATTACGGGAACACTGATGTCACTGGGTGATTTTAATAGTGTACTAACTGATTTTCGTGGGGGACGGATGTTGAACAAAAAAAAGTGAAAGTACTACTACAACACTACTAGTTCGGCTTCCTTTTCTTCATCTTCGCTGCTTGAGATAAGTACTACCAGTGGAAATGTTCGAAAATAAAGCAGTATCGTTATTTTATCGTAGGGTACTATAATTGGGATAACACAGCGGGTCTCTCGTCCTGGATGGTACTAGGATTTTGAAATGGGGATGATTTCTATCGTGAAGATGCTGTTGCTGACTCGAAGCGAAGCAAACAATAAAAACCGCAAAAATAAGTATTTAAAACCTGCTGTCGCTCAGTCTCGTTCTCGTCCTCAACATCTTTCGTGTAGGTAATTCTACTCGAGGGAGTGGTTCTTCTTTCATACCTATCTCAACATCTGCGCATGATCCTAAGTAGAGCACGGGAGAGTGGCAGCACCGAGTGTAGTTGGCTTCTCGCGTCATAAGGCAGGAGAAAAAAGCGAGTCAGGCTCCTTTGCCGCTTGTGACATCAATCCAAATCCAACAGCTCGTTGTACTTATATCGACCCGAGTGCTTTACTACATTCGAGCCGGCTAATTATATTACTCAACTCTCCGAGCGAGGATTTCGAACCGAGCCAGGAAGCTTTTCATCTCAGTTGTATAATTTCGACGATTTATTCCCAAGTTGAGTTTCAGAATTCATACGATTCTTATCTATGATTTTCGTCTTCTTTTCGCGGCCTGGTCGTTTTTAATATCGACTGCAATACTTACACATGTCTGGAAGGTCTGGAAGACTGTAGAAGCTTGCCATGCAGCTTCCGGATGCCCCAGAAGATGCGTAATGCAGGGCCGAGCAAGCATGACAGGTTCATCTGCGAGAGGGCAACAATAGACAGCTTTTGCTAATCTTGCAGTCGACAGACAAACTTCGCCTCACTGACAGAGACCATCACAGTTTTTCGTCACCTTTATCCGACACCTTTGTAGGAATTCTTTCAGTTCTCGGAAACCTTTTGTAGTAACTCTTTCAGTTCTCCCGCCGCATGCATTTCCAGCAATATCTGCGCCCCGCCCACAAACTCGCCGTTGACGAATAACTGCGGTATGGTCGGCCAGTCGCTTACTTCCTTGATGATCTCGCGAACGTCCTCCGATTTTAGAACGTCGACGAATATGTAGTCCTCGAATTCCTCCAAATCGAAAAGTTTGATCACTTGGGCAGAGAAGCCACACAGGGGTTCTTCCGGGTTGCCCTTCATGAAAAGCACGGCTTTGCTTTCAAATGCAAATATGTCTGGGTCTGAAAGATTGCAGGAGTTTGTCATGCATCTTCTGGGTCACGCAACTGGTCCCTGACGCACGCAAAAGCATTACAGATTTTGCGCAGACCTCCTGACGTCTATCCCGCATGAGAAATTCCTTTTTTGCGTAGCAAGAAATAGGAAGCTCCTGGTGCTTATGCAATACAAATTTTTTGCCTATTCCAGAAATCGCATGACAACTCCCATTTCTTGCAGAGGACCCAGACATGTTTGCAATGCATATTTGCTCCCCTTGATCAGATCGAGGATCTTCTGCTTCAGTTCTGGATTATTACAACTCCCGGCTGCTGGTTCTCCTGATGCAGGAACAGCGTCGGGAATTATCGTACCTCCCGGCTTGTCTGGAGTTTCGGTGGAAAAAGAACGCAGGTTGGTGATTGCTTGCAGGGTTACTATCGACGGCCTGAGGAGGTTCGGCCTTTCGAGGCGGGTAGAAGCGGCTTTGTTTTTCGGAGCGGGTCCATACAATGGTCTCCCGATGCTAGACGAGCTACTGAAGCTGTAGTCCCCGCCAGCAGAGGAAGGTTCTTGTGCTGGTAAAGCGACACGGTTGGAGGGCTGGTCGTGCGCCCCGACTTGATTTCTCACAGAAGCTGGCACTGCAGCTCGAGAAGCTGCACGACCCCCGCAGAGCAACACGGACACGGAGGGAAAAGCAGCTGGCAGCCGCCCAAAAGAAACCGACGAAGTTGCCATTTTGATGTGTGGTCTCTTGCAGTCTTGAACGTGGTCCGTACACGGGAAAACGAAAAAGCGAAAAAACAAAAAATAGAAAATGAAAATAAGTATCTGTCGAGTATGATTTCTCGTGTAAAAGATGTTTTTCTCTCTGGAATCTTGTTTACTTGCATGGAAAACTGAATAAACTTGCGATGCTCGTTGTGCACTGATTTCTCCAAAATCTGTGTTGGTTGCATAACCGACAAAAGCGAAGCTGCTTTTGTTATGCAAAAATGGAGTTTGTCATGGATGCGCACTACGGACGATGACAGAGCTTCTTGTTCTGAAACCTTGAAAAGAACAACTTGCGAAAAGATCAAAAAGCGGACTCAGGTTCATCAAAAATACCCGTAATCCAACTTATCCCTCCTGCGAACTGCATGTCGCGACAAGTTTTTAAATATGTGCTTCGTGAAAAGTAATCAATATTCATACCGTTGTACAGGTGCGTTTTTTAGTTCTTCGACAGCGAGCCCTTCCTTAACCGTGGCGGTTTCTCATCACATGACTCTCGTCGTGCCGACGTCGCAACAGCTCCAGTATCCTTGAAGATCATTCCATGCGTAGTGTAGTTCAGTTGTTCTCTTGAAGATTAATCCGCGGGTGAGACAGGAGCTGCAACTTGCGCAATATTCAAGTTGTTGTGCTCTACTTGCTTCGAATAAAGTAATACTACGCCGAGTCTTGTTGTAGTAGTTTCTCTACTTCTTTGCGTGCTGTAAATTGATAATTCCAATCTAGTTGTGACACTCCTTGTGAGACATAGAAATGAAGATCCAAGCCTTGTGCTCGTCGACTTTTTTAATTTACACAGAAAAGATATCAAATATGTTTTCCCCTACTCGGTTCTCAGCCTGACGATTTCTCTCTTGGACGGGTGGAAGGCACTAGAAGAGGTGGTACCATAATTATCGCTAGATTTACTCCTGTCAAGAACGACAAAGCCGCAACTGGCGAAGCCAATCGTTTTTCGTGCTGGTTGTCACGTTTTATTTTGGGCAAACAAAACGAAAAACAGCAGAACCCAGCCCGCGGACTGGGACAGGGAAGCAGGACACAAAGAGCAGCATAATAAAGGAGAAAAGGAAACAAAGCACGGCGAAAATGAAATCAAAAAGCCTACTAGGGGGGAGAAAACAAAAATCAAGTTTCTTTCCCAGTAAACCTCCCCTGCTGTGCGCCGGCTGCGGTGGTGCGTCCCCCCCTTCCTAAGGGCACCTACTTATCCGCTTCACAGCCATCCAAGGACTGTGGAGCAACAAGAAGGTAACTTCCACTACGCCGTCACTGCCGCTTGCACACGATCCAGCGAGGGCCCGCGTCAGATCCAGTCGCAGGTGGTGGTGACAGAGGTACAAGTACAACTAGGCACTTACCAACTCTGCACGACTGCGCCGGCGCATTTTTCCAGATGAGGAGAAGCCACAGCCTGGTGTTTTTTCCTCTTGTCAGTCCGCCTCCGATGGCAATAAAACAAAGGGGGTCCTAAAACTAGTACGTAGATGAAATTATAACGTGACAAATAGCACCATCGAATTGCTTCTCGTGCTGCACCACACAGGTGAATATCAAATGCAAAAATGTCTGGGTCTGGAAGAGCACAGCTTTGTAACGCACATTTTCCATGATCCATGATGTCTGTGATGTATGCCATAGCATCACAGATTTTTTGAGCGGTTATCTATGCGCATCCAGAGTGACAAACGCCCTCTCCGCGTAGCCAAATTTGAATCCTCTTGCTGGTCATGCAACACAGCTTTTTTTAGCATCCAAATGCAGCATCACAAGTTTGGCTCTTCCAGACCCAGACAACATTTTTGCATTTGATAGTGAAAGAGATGTGACTTATCCTATTTATGTTCCTCAAAATCCTTCATCACTTTCGCCGCAACTTTTTCCGCAGTAAAGCCGAATTCCTCCTTAAGCTTTCCGCCCGGAGCCGACGCACCAAAGCTGGACATGCAGATCATATGCATGGCAAATATGTCTGGCTCTGAGAATTATTTGTTGTGCTATAATTACTCGCATTTTTGCAAAGTGGCAGGCTTGTACTCGGCGGAACAGCATCAGATGTGGTCTGGCGAGGCTTGTTGCTGATTCATTCGTATTAAACCGCATGACAAATAACCGCAAATTATCCAGCACGACAAAACAACTGCCCAACTATCGTATTCATGCAATATACAGATCTTTCTGTCCTTGAAGTCTTGCATCACAAACCCAGTGTCCCACAGATATTTGCAATGCATAGATCACCGAATCCGCGTACTTCTCCAATCCGAAGGACGTGGAGCACGACTCGCAGTACACTTTGAAGGTCTTTTTCGGCAGCACTGATTCCTGGTACTGCTTCGTTTGTTCCGCGAACAGTTCCCAGCAGGGAAAAGACACTACGCGGACTTTCTTGATGTTCTTCTCCGCAAGAATCTTCTTCGCCTTCATCATCAAGTCCACCTCCTGCCCAGAGGCGGAGAGAATAATCTCTGGCGGCTCGACGGAGTCGGAAACGACATAGGCGCCCTTTGCTACTTTGTCCTTATCTGTGCCGACGACGTGCGGGGCGGTGGACCGGGAAAGGATGATAGCGGTGGGTCGGGTTTGGTTCTCGAGCCAGCACTGGTACGCACCAGCGGTCTCGTTACCTGCGAATGTTTTGTGACATGAGACCTATTACGATCTTAAAGCTTTCATGCAGTTCGACGCACCATCACAGCGCGCTTTATTTTCCATGCATATTCACGCATTTTAATTTATGACAAAAAAGAAGACTCCCTAGTACCGTCTGCTGGTCTGATCGCCAAGAAGTTCGGTGTCGCGCGCATCAGCTGCAGAACCTCCACCGGTTGGTGCGTTGGGCCGTCCTCCCCCAAGTCGATACTGTCGTGCGTCCCAATGTACAGCACCGGAAATTTGCTCAAAGCCGATAACCTGACCGATCCCCAGGCGTACCCGTAGAACACCGCGAAGGTGGCGCAGTAGGGTAGCGTCATGAAACTGTTTCCGTACTTCGCGTTGTTCTGTGCGTAGCTCATCATCCCGTTGCAGATTCCCGCCATCGCGTGCTCCCGCACACCGAACCGGAGGTACCGCCCCGTTGGGTTGCTGTCCTGAAAATCGTCCACGTGTTTTGTGTTGCAGCTCGGTGTATCCACTGCAAATATCCCTGGATGTCTGCAAACCTGTAATGCTGAATGGTCATGCTTGAGCGTGCCTTTCAGTGCAGTGCAGCATCACAAATTTTCTTAACGCTTTCTGATACTTAGTGCGCATTACAAACTGCGACTTTTTACGACGAGACTGTGGCGCTTTTATTGCTTTTCTGCAATACAGATTTTCCAGGAATGCTGGACACGCAATACAGATTCCACCTTTAATTCCAGACCCAAACATATTTGCAATGCATATGGTGCCAAATCTGCGCACCCGCCGACTAGCTCCGGTAACTTGTTTACCAGTGCTTTCAGACACTCCCCGGAGTACACCCTCGTTGCCGCCGCTTTCGAGGTACCTGGATCGTAGGACGGCAAACAGGACTTCCAGTCCGCTGGCAGCTTCCCCTGTAATCTCCGGGACAGTTCTTTGCCGAGGTCGGGGAACTGCTGCTCGTAGTTGTGGAGCATCTTCTCCCACTGCGTGCACATTGCGTTCCCGACTGACCCGTGGGCTTCGAACCTGATTTTCATGAAAAATGTCATCGTACTTGTTGTGCATCACAAACCCCCTATGTGTAGCTGAGCCTCGCATTACAAACATCAACATCACGAAGCAATTATCTATTTTTCAAAACTCTGTACATCTGTTTCACCGCCGTTGGAATGGCGAATTTCTATCCAAGAAAAAAACTGCGTTAGTGTAACTTTGTAGGAAGAGCAGCATCACAAATTCGTTTTGCATTACAGGAAAAACCTGTCATGCGTAGCTAGTACGTGCAAACACGTATGAAAGTGGCCTATGACGCACACTCAGCATGACAACTGTAACTGTTTTGCATTTTCTGCATCACAAATTTAGACTTACACAGTTTTTTTCTAGGATAATTTCGCCTCTGCGTTCATTCCTAACTGCTTCTTCATCGCGGTTATGACATCTGCCCCCAGCGTATCCAGGAAAAAACTGTGTAGTAAGTGTAACTTTGTAGGAAGATGAGCCGCATCACAAATTCCTTTTGCATTACAGGGAAATAATAAACCTGTCATGCGCAACTAGTACCTTCAGTGAACAAAACACGTATGAAAGTGGCCTATGACGCAGCAGCACATCCGGCATGACAATCGTAAACAGTTGTGCATTTTCTGCATCGCAGATTCGCACTCACATAGGTTTTTTCTTGGATACAGTGGTGCCCCGTGTGTTTTTTCGCTCCCCGCTTTCTCGCAGCCGTACCCGATGGTAGTTTATCAAATGCAAAAATGTCTGGGTCTGGAAATTTGTGATGCTAAAGTTTGGATAAGACTGGCGCTCTCAAGTGCAGCCCAGCATGACAAGTATACTTGACGCCGTCTGATGCGTAGCACGCATGACAAACTGCGTTTTTGCAAGAGGAAAAAGCACCGCCTTTCATCTTGCTGGCTGTGCAATACAGATTTCTCAGGAATGCCAGACATGCAACACAAGTTCCACTTTTCCAGACCCAGATATTTTTACAATGCATATAGTTTTCATGATAAGGATATGCATTGCAAACATCGATCATCTCGGTCTGGATTTCTATATGCAACATTTCTTCAAGGACACGAACAAGATAGATCTGTATTATGCATGAAAACGATTTATCTTGGGCAGTTTTTTGTCGCGCTAGTTGGCCGTTTGCCATCCGAAAAATTTGTCATGCGTGTCAACACTTCCGTAGAAATAAAGATCGCTCTGTCCTAACGCAACTACACTCAGCAACACAAATTCACTGCGTTCTACTTCCAGACATCCGCGGTGGATTTAAGTATTTGCATTTGATAAACGAACGTTGGCTTTGAACTCTGGGACTTTGCGAGTGTCACCGCAGCCTGAAATTGCTCTGGGTCCTCAGCGTCGCCTCGTTCGATGGTTAGTACGTTCCAACCGTAGGCTTCGAAACTGTTTTTATTTTTGTAGAATTCTACTTGCAAAAACTGCATGAGAAACGTTTAAAACGTTGCGTTGATAATGATATTGGAGCCGCTGCATCACAGATTCAATTTGGACAAGCAACTACCCCCTCTACTAGTATGAAACATTTCTATACCGCTTCCCGACATTCTCCGTGAACGCCAGCTCCGTGCTACCGTCGATGGAAATCTTGTTGTCGTCGTAAAATACGATCAACTTCGACAACTTCCAGTGCGCAGCGAGACTGCAATATCCCAGAGAAAAAATCTAGAAGGGCATATAATTTGTATTGCAAAAATGAATACACAGAAAATTTCGTCATGGACGGCCCCAAAAAATGCTGTTTAGAGTCCGCAAAAAAGATTTTTTTATGTATTTACTTTCGCATATACAAATATGACCTGCCTGCTTTTTTCTGTGTGATATGCAGGCCTCCGAAGCCACCCCCTCCATCATGCAGCCGTCCCCGGTTAGCACGTAGGTGTAGGATATCCTGTGTAAAAACATCCCCACCCCAGAGTTGTCATGCAGATCTGCAAGCGCAAGAGCATTTGTAATGCGCATTCCCATGAGAGGCATTTCTCATCGTATTTTGGAACTTGTAATGCTGTAAGCAGGATAACGAGATGGATTTGTTATGCGGCTCCCCTTGCTAAACTGCATTACACTACAGCCTGCAACTTGTCATGCGTGGCTCCCAAAACTTCGAGGTTTGTGTTGCAAAATCCCCGTCTTGACTCTGGGGTGGGGACGTTTTTACAATCGATATAGGAGTCGAAGAGCGGGAACCCGGGCTTGTTAAACCGCGCGGCCAAATGCTTCTCGCATAATGCCATCCCCACCGCGTTGGTAATGCCCTGCCCAAGGGGTCCGGTGCACACCTCCACCCCGGGCGTGGCGAAGTTTTCTGGGTGGCCCATCCTATGTAAAAACGTCCCCACCCCATAGCTGTCATGATAATCTGCAAGCATGGTAAAAAAGTTTCTCATGCGGAGCCCTATGAGAAGCGTTTTCTCGTCGCGTTTTGGAATTTGTGATGCTTGAATCAGCATGATAGGCTAGGTCTGATGCTGCCGGAGCTAACTAAACAAGACTACAGCACCCAGAGGCCAAACTTGTCATGCGCAGCAACCAAAGCTGGTTGATTTGTCTAGCAGAACTCCCATCTTGACTCTGGTGTGGGGACGTTTTTACATAAGATATGGCCCGGGGTTTTGCTATGGAGCTGGCGGAAGAGCTTCAGGTCGTCCAGAGAAACTTGGTAGCTGATAAAAAGGTTTATTTTAGACGCATAAAAACTTACTTCACCTTTTGAATTTGAAAACAAATCTACTGCATGACAAGAATCTGATGTCGTCCATATATCACGATCGATCGCAGGAGAAAATTGGTTCTCACTCGTGCTGCTGCCGGAAATTATAGGCTACGCCGATAATAATAAACCTATACCCTGTCAAGTGCAGCATGCAGTATTGCAGCGCGCACGCGTGTCCGTTCGATAGAACAAAGCGATTATCAAATGCAAAAATGTCTGGGTCTGGAAGAATGCAACGCGTGATGCTATTTTTGGAATCTAAAAAAATCTGCATTGCATGAGTAGCAAAGGGAATGCAATTTTTGCTACGCTGAGAAAGCATTTGTCATGCGGAAGAGGCATCAAGAAGCCCTCAGAATATCTGTATTGCTAGAGTATGCATCACAGACATCATGGCTCACAGAATCTTCCAGACCCAGACATTTTTACAGTTGATAGCGATCCCGGTTCAGCCACTTCGGATTCTCCGGGGAGAAATGCATGATCTTCCCGAATATCAACTGCAAAAATGTCTGGGTCTGGAAGATTGCAACTTGTCATGCTGTTTTTGGACTCTAAAAAAATTTGTGTTGCATGACCCAGCAAGAGGGGCATAGTTTGCGCTACACGGACAGGGCATTTCTCATGCGGAAGGTGCACCAGGAAGCCCTCTAAAAGTCTGCGATGCTAGTCCTGCATTACAGGCATCATGGGTCATGAGAAATATGCATGACAAGTCTTGCATTCTTCCAGACCCAGACATTTTTGCATTTGATACCGAACAACGCAGCCGCTAATGGTGCGCACCCCATTGGCGCTCCCGGGTGGCCGGAATTCGCCTGCTGAACCATGTCCGCAGCCAGGCATTATCCGTAGGAAAAACGTCCCCACCCCATACTTGTCATGCAGATCTGCATGCTCAGCATGTGTGTCATGCAGGTCTCCATGACAGGCATTACCTAGTCGCGTTTCTGAATCTGTCATGCGCCAATCAGGATGACAGAGAAGTGGATCTGTGATGCGTCTGAACTAGCTAGGCACGACTACACTGCGTAAGTAGCCAAACTTGTCATGCGTGAGTCCCAAAGATGCTCGATTTGTCTTGCCAAAGTTCCAACTTGACTACGTGGTGGGGACGTTTTTACAAGGGATAGGCATCGGATCGTGTTTACGGCTAAAACGGATTTCTCATCGTGCGGACCTGGTGGATTTATATGATTGGCATAATTCGCCATGAATTCAGCTCCACAAAGAAGATGAAAACGCTACTAGCTTGTCTTCGCCAGGTCCGCATGAAAAATCCGTTTTGTTCTCATGCAGATTTCTACACTACATGTACTCATAGTGTCGACGTAATATCACTTACCTTTCGCAGACTGCAGGTCGGCTTTCAGCCGTTTAGCAGCAGGCTCCCCCGCACCAGCGGTCATGGTCATAGTGGGTTTATTCACGACAATATCGGCGGATCAATTTCGAAGTACTTATTATATAGGTGAAACTTTTGGTTACACAAAAATGTTGCACTATTCTGACTCAGTGCACTAGAAGTTTGTTTCGGAGTTCTTTTTGTATTCAGAAGATTACCGTCAAAAATCAGTTGTTTCCCGTTTCGTCCGCTCCTAATAATGGAGCTACTTCTCAAACAGTTCTGAGGACAAATCGGTTGAAATGAATCGGATCACAGACAGGTGTCGCTTGTTTCCAAAAACTGCTTGAAAATTTGTCTGCACCCGCAGCAAAGAACTTTGCAATTTGCCGTCGCTTATTGGGTCGTTTTGATATAAAAATGTGCACAAAACAATTCTAACTTTGGCTCGGGCACAGAGGACCACTTGCGCACCGGACGCAGCTTCGCGACACTGTGGCAAAACTTCCGAAATGTTGAACAGTGCGCGAGGTTCCTCTTCCTTTTGTCCTCGACCACCAGCGTAGGCGAAGGCGTTAATTTCGCACTACAACTTCTTTGCTCCAATTTGACACGCGGCTTTGGATTTTCGCAAAATGTCAATATCATTGTGTGTTGCTCGTAGAAGTTGTTCCGCAACACAAGTAGTACCGACTCGATGCTGCTGCATGTAAGAAAGATCTAGTCGCTGCGCTGTAAAACGCTGCTGCAAGAAAAAAATGATCTGGGCTTTGATATTGAACAGCTTTTGCAAACTCTACTTCAGACACTTTTCACGGAAACTACGCCGCGCTTTGTTCGATAAGACTATGCGAATGATTTCCTGTAGAAGGCGCAGCGATGTTGCACGGGGCGAGCCAGCACAACTCCGATGCGCTCTAGGTAAAGATTCGGAGAGGCATTCATTTTTATGGAGAATGAGGTGCAGGTAGAAGTTTACCCCTTTTCTGTGGCTCAACTACGAGGGCAAACGGAAATGGAATGCAAACAATCGTACAATTACTACTGCAATTTAACGCCGCTGTTAGTAGGCAGCTTGATTCTTTTGCTTAATAAAGGTACATTTTTATTGGAGATCCAACATGAAATAAAGGTAGTGGAGGCATTGTTCGAAATAAAACTGGAGGTGCTAGTAAGGCTCTGCATTGTAAAAGAAAAAAGAAGCTGTTCGCCATTTTCCCGCTGTGCCACCGATCTGGCACCACAACCGGAAAGAAGACGCTTGCCGCAAGTTGTAGCTTTCACACACAGCAGGAAAATGAACTGTGCTAGCGTGTTATGGAAAATAAGGACAGACTCGAGAATTATCGCAAGCACCTCGAGAAAGAGAAAAACGTAAATGTGGAAAATATACATTTTCACATAGAGCAGTAGTGCCAGTGTAGTTCTTTATAACTGCATTCTACAACTACAAGACTTATCTCGTCGTAACCCAGCATTCTGTCAAATTCTTCTCAGAACGGCGTGCACCTGGAAGCGATGTTCAGGGCGCAGTCGGTTTGAAAATACGTGCACCTTGTGAACCGCAGTTTGTCGACCTCCTGCTTCGACACCCTATGCTTTGCAAATATGTCTGGGTCTGGAAACTTGTAATGCTAAAAATGCATGATATTCTCACTGCAATACGCAGCCAAGCATGACAACTTTTGCGGGCTGCTAGGTGTTGCGTATTCCGCATGACAAACTGCGTTTTTGCATGACATGCAAGAGAGCCTCTTCGCGCTCACGCAACACAGATTTGAGAACTAGGAGATGTCTTCATGACAAACTTCCAGACCCAGACATATTTGCAGTTCATACACCCCCGCCAGGAGCAACACCTGCTTGGCCACCGGATCCTCGCCCCGCAGAGGGTACTCCACGACCGTTTTTGTGTGGAAAAATGCCCCCTCCCCATATCAAAATGGAAATTTGTGATGCTGATCTGTGGCCACAAATCGGATTACTCTTGCAGAAAATGCTTCTCGATATTTTCCAAGCCTGTTCGAGTATGCAGAAGGCTAGCGATGAAGCATGGCAAACAGGTTTGCAGTAGTCGAAAGCGCATGACAGACTCGCTGTAGAATGCGCCACAATACTCCCATTAACCTATAGGCAAGACAAATCTGATTTGTGTACGCAAACCCAGCATCACAAGTTTCCTTTTCGACCATATGGGAAGGGCGCATATTTCCTTTTGATAACCGTTTTTGTGTGGGTGTCGTAGGTATCAGACAAGATCAAATCCTATCAAATGTAAAAGTGTCTGGGCCTGGAAGAATCCGAAACTTGTTATGCTGTTTTTGCATGACACAGAATGTCTGTCATGGAAGCCCTAGCATCACAGATCTTTAGAGGCCATCCTGGTACCTATTCCGCATGACAAATGCCCTACACGCGTAGCACAAACCGGACTTCTTTTGCTGGTCATGCAATACAGAATTTTTTAGAGTCCAAAGTTAGCATCACAAGTTCCAACCTTCCAGACCCAGACATTTTTGCAATCCATAAATCCACCTTTCGTGGGTTCAAACTCACCATCGAGTGCGACGTCGAACCACCCAACGCGCCGGCGCTGGAGTTGAACTTGCTGTCATCAGTTTCGTCGAGAAACTTGGAACCTGATTTTCAAATCGAAATTATGTTGCTAATGTGGGGAGCTTGTTTGTTGCCATGCACAGAAGTGCCCCACAATGAATATAATTATCGGGGGCGTTAAGAACTGCAACATCCTTGTCCTACACGACCTTGCAACACAAAAGCTACTACTTGCTTTTGTACCTCCCGTGTCTCCCCCCGGACTGAGTTCCTCGGGGTCCTCGCTTTTCACCAAATTTGGACTCGAGGCAGTCAAGTTCTGGCTCACGTAACTCAAGTTCGTCAGGTGATTCTCCCGGAGCCGGTGTCGCAGCAACTCTGCTAGATAAACCGACTGTTCGTTCGGCGAGGTCACGTCGTGGATCCCGTGAAAGAGCCGAATCCGCCTCCGCGGCAGCCGCTCGAACAGGAGGGGGTGTCTTGCCAGGAGCTGCAGCGGGGAATGCTCTTCGATTTTCTCCTATGCATTGCAAACATGTGGTCTGCACACTAAGATTGCAAGGCTTGTCATGCACATTTCGCATGACCCAAGGTTTGTCTGTGATGCATGCCCTAGCACCACAGAGTTTTTGCGGACTTCTTCATGCGTATGATCGTCCCGAATGACAAATACACTCTCTGCGTAAGTAGCAAAAACTGGAAGTCAACTCCTCTTACTGCTCATGCAATGCACATTTCTTTTTCACTCCACAGGCAGCATCACAAGTTGCACTCTCGTTCCCGACCCAGACTACATATTTGCATTTGATATCTCCTCCACCCCGGCGAACATTTGGATGATTTCCGCGGGGATCGCCGCCTTCGCGAGGTGATCCTGCATATGAACTGCAAATATGTCTGGGTCTGGAAGAGTCGGGGCTTGTCATGCACATTTTGCATGACCCATCAGGTCTGTGATGCTGGTGCTAGCATCACAGATTTTTTGAGAGCTTCTTGATGCTAATTACGCATGACAAATGCCCTCTCCGCGTGCCAAGAGCTGACTCCTCTTACTGCTCATGCAACACAGATATTTTTAGAATCCGCAGACAGCATTACAAGTTCCACTCTTCCAGACCCAGACATGTTTGCATTTGATCCTGCAAACCCGGCAAATCGTACACACCCGACCACCCGAAAAAGTTCGCAAACTTAAACTCGTCGGTACCCAGGAGGGCGAGCAGAGCCAGGTGCGCGCCGGCAGACTGGCCACACAGAGTAATTTCGTTCGGATCGATGATGGGCAATAGCTTCGGTTTATGGTCCAGCTGATGTGTACTACCAGCAGCTGCCGAATGATCACCACCCCCGCCGCCCACTTGTTGCTGTTTCAAGCTCGCATTGGAACAACAACTCGGGTTGTTGCTGTTGGGGATGTTCTGCTTCACCCACCGCAGCGCCTGCAAAACGTCGTCAACCATCTCGCGGAAGGTGGCGAATGGAAAATTCCGGTAGTCGATGGAAATCGAGACCACCTTCCCGCTCTCCGCTAGGTGTCCGCTCAACGCTGCACACCAGTACCGATGGCCGATCGTCCACGCGCCGCCAGTCACGACGATGACGAGCGGAAGCTTGTATGCTGAGCAAAAACGTCCCCACACCAGAGTCAGGATGGGAAATCTGCTAGACAAATCACCAGGCTTTGGCTGTTGCGCACGACAAATTTGGGCTCGCAATGTAGTGGCGCTTAGCTAGTGCAGCAGCATCACAGATTCAGCACAACATGCAGACTTAAGCATCACAAATATCAAAACACCACTAGAAATTGCTTCTCATGGGTATCCCATGAGAAATATTTTCAGCATGCAGATATGCATTACAACTCTGGGGTGGGGACGTTTTTACAAATGATAGCTTGTAGTTCGGATTTTGCAAGTCCTTTTCCGTCAGGTTCAGCGGGTAGAAAACTTCCAACACATTCCGGCTGTGCTTTCCGTACTGGAAGGTCTCCGTGTAGCGGAAATTCTTGTACGAGTTGTTCTCACCGGTGGATCCGGATGAAAAGCTTTTACCCTGTGGTCCACCACCGATCAGCTTCCTTCCGCCGTACACGTACCTCCACCACACCCAAATGATAGCTATGCATTGCAAAAGCAAATAAAGTATAATTGCACTGCTATGATAAAATTGCATGACAAGAAAATTCTCGACATAGTTGCAAAAATGGATTTTCTCATGCGCGACATTTTATTTCAGGTAAGATAGCATGGCTCTGTAGTCAACATGCCAGACTCCTGCAGTACGAAATTATACTTGCTTCATGCTCAGGATACCCCCGGGAAAAACGCAAATCCCGACGATGACGATCCCCTGCAGGTACCGAATGAAGGTCAAGATCCACTGCGTCCAGAACAATGGGTTGAGAGTAATCTGAATCAGCCAGAAGTAAAGTCTCGGGAACCGAAACACCCGTTTATTTTTCCCCTGCTGTTTTGTTACAATCAAAAGCGCCCCCATCCCAGAAGCTGGCAGCATTTTCACGTGTATTGCAAACCTTTCCAATGAAAACAATCCCCGTCTTGCATATACCAGCATCACAAATTCGCCATGCTGAATAGCAAAAATTTGTATTGCAAAAGATCCCAGAAAGGGCGGCGCTTGTCATTCAAGCGATGCTGTATACGACTAGACTCTGCATCACAAAGATTCATAGTGCTTTCATGCAAGACAAAAAGTTTTCATTTGGAAACTTCGCATCACAACTTATGGCAACTTTCGGGGTGGGTGCATTTTTCATTGTGATATGCTTCTGGAGGTACTCTTCCCGCGCGTCCGGGGAGTTGGTGAAGGGGGATGCGTATGAATTGCAAAAAGTGTCGTACTCGTATAAATGCATTACAAATTTTCCCAGCGTGAGAAATAAAACTTGTAATGCGGTTTTGCCTTAAGAAAAACATTTGTAATGCAAGACTTGCATTTATACGAGTACGATACTTTTGCACAGGATAATGCGTAGTTGCTATCCTCTGAAACGGAGCCGACGGAATTGTACGAGTACCGGTTGCTGGAGCGATTCGAAGCCGTGCTGTACCCACGATTCCGCCCGCCGTGCTGCGGATATGAATTGCACAAGCATCGCACTTCTAGTATGAATTGCATTACAAATTTCCTCAGCATGAGAACTGGAATTTGTGATGCTGATTGACGTTAGGAAAAAGATTTGTAATGCATAACTGCAATTTTTACCACGAGTACGATACTTTTGCAATACATAGCGGATGGATGTTCGCGATTTCCACGTAGAACAGATGCAGCCAGAACTTCTTCACCGGTCGCTTGATAAACTTGTAGCACTCGGTCACGATGGTTCGGCACAGAAACGGGATGAAGGTGACGATGAAAATCACGGACGAATAGAGAATGTAGAAGTAGCTTTCCGCGGTGGAAACCTTCTTCGTGGACGGTCCTTGTGGGTTCCCCGTGCTGCTCGTGTATTCTTTCGTACCACTGTGCTGCCCGACCGAGCGGGACACCTGCCGGATCTGCGACCCGTAGTTCATCTGCGTGTTCACGGTTTTATCCAACAGAAAAAAGGCTAGAGCACCTCCACATTATGCAAAAATAAACACACAGCAAAGAAAATCTGTCATGGGCGGGCCCATAGCCATAGCACGCTGCTCTTGCTACGTAGCATGTTGTGCTTCTAGCTTTTTTCTGTAGGATATGCCCGGGGCGACAGCTCCGAACTGCTGGTGACCAGGGAATTCGCTCCAGACAAATCCTCCGATGGGGTGTAGTTCCAGCTGCGGAGCAGGTTCTCAAACCGCGTACGGTCGACGTTGAGGGACTGAAATAGCTCGTTTTCGTAGCGGTTGTTGGGCACATTGAAGGTCCACTCGTCCCCGCGGTAGACGTGGATCAGACCGTAATCCGCGTCATTGGTCGGTAGAATCAGCGGCGAATTCGACATCGGGGAGGATATCTGTGGCGACCCGGGTGAGGCCGCGGGGAGGTAGTGCCGCCGCGGGGTTTCCGGCATAGAAGCAATACCGCAGCTTTTGTTGTTCACCAGGGGGTCGTTTAATTTTTGACTTAAAAAAGTTTTCGCTCGGTGTGGTCCTCCTCGAAGAGGCCCACAGGTGAAAACAACTATGAATTACGATGTTGTCAGCACGGAGGAGTAGGTAGTGATTCCCTTTCATCTCGGTGAGAAAAAATAGTGACGAAATCACATAAACCAAATGGCAATGAGCACGCACCCTCCACACTCTTTCTTTTCACGCTTCTGTGCAAAAACAGCAAACGTTGGCTACTGCGGCATGCGGAACGAGGCGCAACTACCTCAAGAAAATGCCTCACACCTCCAGCAGATGTAGTTGTGGAAGTTGTTGAAAAATGTCTCTGCACCACGCAACGAAGGAGGAAAAGTCTACCGCGCTTACTTCTATCTCTCAGTGGCCCTTGTCAATTTTTCCAAAACACAATGCCGCCGCGCTACTGATCCCGAACAACAGACGAAATACAGTAGGAGGGTCAGTGAGACTTAGTCACACAAGAACCGCAGTCAATGACGCCTCGCCACCTTTTGGTGCTATTCCCCCGATTTCGCTGCCAGCCAGCCTTCGTCGCGCAGTGCGGTCACAGAGTTCGTATGCCAATGAGCCATGGCGCCTCGCAACCGCCCGCTTTCGCCGCCCTTCCTGACGGCGGTCAAAAAATTAAGTAACACACTGTGAAGAGGCCACGGCGGCGCGCCTTCGCCCCGCCGCGCCATGGACAAAAATGCCGGGCGGGGGCCGTTGAGGGCCGGAGCGTCCGGCCGGGCGCCGCACTTGGTCACCCAAAATAAGCGCCCTGGCCTGGCTGTCCTGCCTAGGGTCGGCAATTCTCATCCGGGGCGCCGACCAAGCCACGCACCGGCTCGCCTGGGCCTCCGCAAGGGCCTTGCTGCTGCTGCGCGCGCACCTTCGTTCGGACCCGACCAACAGCGGGGGGCCGCCACCCCCGGAGGTCCGGCGCAACGCCGCGGCGCCGTCGCGCGCCGGGCCCCGTCGCGATACCGCAGGGCCCGCAAATACTGGCTGAGCTGGGTGGGACCTTTGTGCGCACGCGCGTCGTCGGCTGCCCGTCCTGCTGGCCCTGAGTGCCGCCGTTCACCTCGGCGGTGTAATGGCCAGAATTCTTGGGCTCGCGGGGGGCCGTGGTGCAAAGTCACCGCATGGAGTTCGTACGTTTGCGACGCAGGGCCCTTAGGGGCTGGGGCGCGGCCGGCTGCGGGGGCTTCCCGCCGGCTCTGGCAGTCGGCGTCGGCGCCGGTCGCGGGGGCGGCGGATAGGCTTCAGCGGTGGGCGTCTTGATTCCGCGCTCCAGCCGCGCCGCGGGCGCATGTTTTGCCGCATATCGCTCCCACTCGTCTTGTTCCACGCACAAACGCCCAAGCCCCTTGCCACAAGGCCGCCCTTTGGAGTAGGCGAAGGTCTTCCCGGCGGAACCGCGCGAGCTTCCTGGCTGGGTCGTCGAAAGGTGCGGGGCACTGAAGTCCAACCAGGTCGCCGCTGATCTGCCACCGCGTTCGCCCATAATTCCGACACTGCTTCGCCGTGGTTCTCCATCAAGAAGCAGGCACACGAAGCAAAATGTTCGCTCGGTGTGGAGGTTCTGCTCCTCGTGCACAGATGAAAACAACTATGAATGTCGTATGCACAGTGAGAATAAACGGGGTAGATCAATTCATCTCAACATAAACAATGAGCACGCACACACGTCGCTCTCTGAAGTGCTTTTGCGCAAATTCATTCACAGTCCGGCTCTGCGCCGAAACGCACTTACCTCAAGAAACTCAACAGAACTTGCAAAGCTTATTAAAGCTGTATCTCCGCACGGCGCGAAGAAGGAAATCGTATAGATACGCACTGCTATCTCTCCGTGTCCGCGGTCGCCCTCAGAAGTTTTATCACAGAGGTCTTGCGTGTCCTCGTTCTTGCTACTGCCGTTGAAAATACCGAACAAATGAAGACCTACAGCAGTTTCAGCTGTAGAAAAACTTGAGTCACATCTGGCGCGTCTTCTTTCTGGCAAACTTTATTTCTCAATCGCCATGAAGTAAAATCAAAGAATTCATATGTCTGTGCTTCACTTGTATAAGTCTGATTTTTATCAGGTCTGCTCAGTTATACTTTCAAACCTCAGGAGTTGCAAGGTCACGCAGTTGGATCACAGGACAGCAGTCGTGCTAGGGTATACTACTTTCTATACTGTTCTCGCCCAACATGACTACACGATCATCCTGCCTCTCGTATGAACAATCTCCGTGCAAGAACAAAGCACCAAAGACTTTTTAACTTTGTCTCGACGCTGCCACGACATCAAAAACAACCTCCTCCAATGATCACCACCAGTCTCTTACTTCGTCGGCGGGATGTAGGCGTTCGTGTACAAGTGCCGGGCTTTCTTCAACATCGCCATCTTGTTGTCCTTCCGCTCGATGTAATCCCCAGTCGACCCAACATCTCCGAAGAAGAACAAGCTACTCCCAGGCGAGTCGATCCCGTTGTCCGGGAAAGTCTTCGTGTCCGGCGAATCCCGCCCGTACGGCATCGTGTTAAACCGGTAGTTCAAAAACTGGTCGGAAATCGCCTCCACACCATCGTGGGCGACGGCATCCGGGGTCAGGTACTTCGTTAACTCGCTAAAGTCCCGCTTCTCCGTATCCTGTGGAAAAACGTCGCCGCCACCCCAGAATTGAAATGAGCTGCACTGCAAGATAGCAACACAAATCCACAAGTTTTGTGTGTTGCACATGTTGACAAGCTTGGGCTCGTAGTGTCGTCCTAATTAGCATTTTAAAGCGCATCACAGATCGATCATCTTATTCTGGTTCCAGCATGGCAAGTCGCCAGATAGCATTAGAAACTGCTGCTCAGCATGGGCGTGCGCATGAGAAACTTTTTGGGTTTGCGGATTCGCATGACAAAAACTCTGGGGAGATGGGGACGTTTTCACTATGGATACTCCGTGGCTTCCTGGATCGCTTGGTCCCACAACTTTTCCAAAGCGATTACTTTCCTGATAAGTTTTATTTCTGCAAGATCATTACTTCCTATTCGTATATCGTATTCTGTCGTCCTTTACGTGCATTACAAAAATTCAGTATCACCTCGTTTCCGCATCACAAATTTTGAAGAACCAGAAAAATAAGTACATGTTGTATTTCTGCATGCGCTGTTCCAGGTCCTCGGACTCGGAGAGGAAGAAACTATGCATTGCAAATATGTCTGGGTCTGGAAACTTGTGATGCAAGGAAGGGAATAGTGAGCTCAGTGCAATGCGCTGCCAAGCATGACAAGTTTTTTTCATGTTTCTGAGTTGCGTATTCCGCTTGAGAAACTGCGTTTTTGCATAACTACGGGGAGGAGGAGCTCTTCGCGGCCACGCAATACAGAGTTCAGAGTCATGCCAGATTAGCATGACAAATCTCGTCGCAACCTCCCAGACCCAGACTGATATTTGCATTTGATAAAATCCACTACCCCACATCTTCGAGGTTAGCTCGTACATCCGCAGCTTCTCGATTGCCATATACGCATCGGTTTCCGAGACAACGTACCTGAGCAAGGTAAGTTTTGGCTCTGTAGTCTCGTCGCCCATCTTTTTTCTTTTTGTCCTACTTGATCTTGATCTTGAATGAAGAACTGCATGAGAAATAATGCTGCTACCATGCACGCCCGGCATCGCAGAAAAAAGTATCAAAAAAAATTATTATACGAGACAAACAGGTTGTATCCGAGCAAAACGCCCAGCACGCCGAGGCATTTCAATCCGAAACCCGGCAATTGCCGATCCCACTCCGCCACTGCTGGCCCGAGTGAACTGCCGTACATCTTTACGACGAAGTCTTTCACCGACGTCATCACCAATTCCATCGTTGGCCGCTTGGACCGGAGCCATAACCTGGGGATCATGATGATGAATCAGCGGGGTTTTTCATCTTCATTGTAAGTGGGGTAGTGCATAAAAAGATTTCACAACGAGTTGAATTATCTGTCTTCCGCGACCGAATAATTTTATCCGACTTCCTCAGAACTCACTACTTTGCGTGAAGGCTACAGCAGTTGCAAGTGGGGTATTGTCGGCTGTGAGACTATGTGCGTGTGCGTGTGCGAGTGTGCTTGGACATTTGCACACGCACACGCACACCCTGGATCTGCGTGGTGGCGGTGTGCACACGCACACGCACATCGCACACGCACATCGCGCGCGCGCACAGCTGTGAGATTGCACTCGCACACGCACACGCACATCGCACTGATGTGCGTGTGCGTGTGCGTGTGCGTGTGCGAGTGTGATTGCACATTTGCACACGCACACCTGGATCTGCGTGGTGGCGGTGTGCACACGCACACGCACACGCACACGCACATCGCGCACGCACATCGCGCGCGCGCACAGCTGTGAGATTGCACACGCACACGCACATCGCACTGATGTGCGTGTGCGTGTGCGTGTGCGTGTGCGTGTGCGTGTGCGTGTGCGTGTGCGTGTGCGTGTGCGTGTGCGTGTGCGTGTGCGTGTGCGTGTGCGAGTGTGATTGCACATTTGCATACGCACACGCACACGCACGCCTGGATCTGCGTGGTGGCGGTGTGCACACGCAAACGCACATCGCGCACGCACATCGCGCGCGCGCACAGCTGTGAGATTGCACTCGCACACGCACACGCACATCGCACTGATGTGCGTGTGTGTGTGCGTGTGCGTGTGTGATTGCACATTTGCACACGCACACGCACACCTGGATCTGCGTGGTGGCGGTGTGCACACGCACATCGCGCACGCACATCGCGCGCGCGCACAGCTGTGAGGTTGTACTCGCACAAGCACACACACACGCACACGCACATCGCGCGCGCGCACAACTGTGAGATTGCACTCGCACTCGCACACGCGCACGCACATCGCACAGCTCTAAGATTGCACTCGCACGCGCACACGCACATGCACATCGCGCGTGCGCACAGCTGTGGGGTTGCACACGCACACGCACATCGCACAGCTGTGAGATTGCACTCACACACGCACACGCACATCGCGTGTGCGCACAGTTGTGAGGGTGCACTCGCACACGCACACGCACATCGCGTGCGCGCGCAGCTGTGAGGTTGCAAGTGCACACGCACACTTGCACACGCACACGCGCTTGTGCGCGTGTGCACGCGCGAGCGAGATTGCACACGCACACGCACGCCGCGCTCGCACCTGTGAGGGTGCAAATGCACACACACACTCGCACACGCACACGCAAATGCGCTCCCAATCGCACCCGCGAGATTGCAGCTGCAGTTGCACGACAAGCACATGCACATACGCACGCACATGTGCGTCACCGCCCACCTCGAGGTGGGCGGGGCGGTGACAGCAAGGTCCGCTCGGGCGCCCACCTGGAAGAGGGCTGGGCGGTGACAGCGAGGTCTCGTCGAGGACGTGTGTCACCGCCCCGCCCACCTCGCTCGAAGTGGGCGGGGCGGCAACAGCGACGAGGTCGGGTCGACGACGTGCGTCACCGCCCCGCCCAACTCGAAGTGGGCGGGGCGGGGCGGTAACAGCGAGATCTGGTCGCACAGGTGGGCGGGGCGGTAAAGCGCGTCCGTGTATCACCGCCCAGCCCACCTCGAAGTGGGCGGGGCGGTGACAGCAAGGCGCATGTCTGGTCGAGGACGTGCGTCACCGCCCCGGCCGCCTCGAATTGGGCGGGGCGGCAACAGCGAGGCTCGGTCGAGGACGTGTGTCACCGCCCCGCTCACCTCGAAGTGGGCGGGGCGGTGACAGCAGGGCGCATGTCTGGTCGAGGACGTGCGTCACCGCCCCGGCCGCCTCGAAGTGGGCGGGGCGGTAACAGCGAGGTCTGTGCGAGGACGTGTGTCACCGCCCCGCCCACCTCGGAGTGGGCAGGGCGGTAACAGCGAGGTCTGGTCGAGGACGTGTGTCACCGCCCCGCTCACCTCGAAATGGGCGGGGCGGTGACAGCAAGGCGCGCGTCTGGGCGAGGACGTGTGTCACCGCCCCGGCCGCCTCGAAGTGGGCGGGGCGGTAGCAGCGAGGCCTGGTCGAGGACGTGTGTCACCGCCCCGCCCACCTCGAAGTGGGCGGGGCGGTGACAGCAAGGTCTGGCCGTGGTCGAGGACGTGCGTCACCGCCCCGCCCACCTAGAAGTGGGCGGGGCGGTGCCAGCAAGGTCTGGCTCTGGTCGCGGACGTGTGTCACCGCCCCGCTCACCTCGATCGAACGAAGTGGGCGGGGCGGTAACAGCAAGGTCTGGCTCTGGTCGAGGACGTGTGTCACCGCCCCGCCCACCTCGAAGTGGGCGGGGCGGTGAAAGCGAGGTTTGGTCGAGGTGCGTGTGACCGCCCCGCCCACCTCGAACGAAGTGGGCGGGGCGCTGACAGCAAGGCGTTGCCCTGGCCAAGGACGTGTGTCACCGCCCCGCCCACCTCAAAGTGGGCGGGGCGGCAACAGCGAGGTCGGGTCGACGACGTGTGTCACCGCTTCACCCGCCTCGATGAAGTGGGCGTGGCGGAGCGGCAACAGCGAGGTCTGGCCGCACAGGTGGGCGGGGCGGTGACAGCGAGGCGTGGTTCTGGTCGAGGACGTGTGTCACCGCCCCGCCCACCTCGAAGTGGGCGGGGCGGTGACAGCAAGGCGCATGTCTGGTCGAGGACGTGTGTCACCGCCCCGGCTGTCTCGAAGTGGACGGGGC